TTTGGCCTGATGTGAAGGACAGACTTGTACTTTTACTCCATATGTCCTGTACGTACTGCAGAATTGAAAATATAACCCGAAAAGTATTTCATTTCTGTCCAACAGGCTGTGACCTGGTGGGAAGGACATCCCCCAGAATTCCACAAAGCAGGAATTCTGTGATGGGAACGCCACCTGTGGCAGTGTTCTGTCCTAACAACAGCTTTGTTATTTTCACTTTTGATCTTTTTTTGGCACTCTTACATCACCTCCTAAAGTTACAAATTGTTCAGGTGATTTAAATCAGCCTTGTTTACAGATGTGGTTTCACATAAACAAAGTAAATATGTGGAACAGTAACCCTGACAACCAGTAAAAACATCGACACAAAGTTAACAATAAAACGCATTTTATCTTAAAAACATATTTTATTCCACAGCCAATTAGACGTCGTCATTTTAAAAGAAATGCTAACGTTGTAAGTGTCGTAAAAACACAAAACAACAAGTGTCGTGAATTCACCGCTCTCTGCTAATCATCGTCGTCATTGATTTCAGCCGTTACTTCCGGCTTACTTCCGGTCGTCACCGGCTGTAGCTCGTTACCTCCCCCGTATTTAAGTCTCTCTCTCGGTAACTCCGTGTCAGATTTCATGCCTGTTGCTCATGTCAGACTGTTGTTCGTTGTACTTTTTCTGTGTTGCCTTTTGTCTGTGTTTGTTTCCACGCCAATGTCACGCCAAACTACAACGCCGACAGCGCGCTGTGACGGCTGCGTTTCTGCCGCATTTTGCGGGTTATGAACTGCTATACTTCCCAGTACAACCACCGCTGTTTTTACCCAACACCCACTCACTTCAAGCGGGCAGACTGTGTGTGTTCCCGCTGTCACGATGCACAGACGCAGACGCGGGTGGGCCGCAGCGACACGATGATCCTCATCATATATGCTATATACGTATATATATATAACAATCTGTAAAGGGGTTCTCAACAGGTGGACTCTGGTCCGTTATAGGAACCCAAACAAATATAATTCCGGACTGAGACAAACTTGTTGTAGCTGTGCACAAGCCATGTCCGACAGTAACAAACTTTGTTCTCGGGGACGTCGCAGTACATCGAAAACTTTCTATTGCGATGGGGATTTTTGGCTCATTTGAAAAACACTGTGTTGCTGTGATGTTTAAACTTTCACTTTTCGCCGGTCGCTCGCTTAGCTTCCTCCT